AAAACTTTCGGTAAGAAATAAAGTCATTAAACAAGTAGATCACATAAAGTATCTTGGTGTTTTTTTCGATTCTCATCTAACTTGGAAAAAACAAATTACGTTCATTTCAAAAAAGATTAAAAGAAGTATAGGAATTTTGTCTAAACTTAGATATTATGTAGATAGCAACATTCTGGTTAATTTATATTATGCTTTAATTTACCCTTTTATAACATATGGTTTAATCATATGGGGTAATGTTTATTCCTCAACTGTCAAACCTTTAATTATACTGCAAAAAAAGGTTGTGCGTGTTATAACTTTCTCTAAATTTGATGCCCACTCTAGCTCACTTTTCAAACAGTTGAATATTATTAAGTTGACTGATCTTCTAAATTTACACGTGGTTCTTTTCATGTACAAATATCATAACAACTTGTTGCCACCAACGTTCAACAATTTCTTTACTCCTGTGTGCAATGTTCATTCTCAAAATACGAGGCTTGCTTCCAAATTAACATATATACTACCAAAAGCAAGAACAAATTTCGGAATTTTCAATATCAAATATCAAGGCGCTAAAATTTGGAATTCTTTACATGAATCATATAAAGACTTGCCGATTTCTCAAATTAAATATAAAATTAGAATCGATTTTCTTGGAAAGTATTGATTCAGTTTCCAACTCCAACTTTTTCTATACGTTATCGGGAGTCATGCAGGACTCCTTTCTCGATCTTTTAAATATATTTGATATAGAACTATATATTGTCAATTTTCATAATTTTTTCGTCCTTTATTTGGTTTCCTGATATTTATATAGCCCTGTGGTTATTTCAGGAAGCCAGCTCTCTTTCAAATCTTCTCAAAAATTACAAAACAATTAGTCACAGATCACAAATATATTTTACTAATAATAATAATGTTAACTATAATTTAAATAATTTCTTTGTGTATATAAATTGCAATTTGAAAGGAGCAAATAAATCTTGTCTTTCTAATTTTATTATCCAATCGGGTGTGTTACTTTAAATAGAACTTATTGTATGTAAACAAGGTCAATAGACAACGTTTGGGACAACATTGCTTTCTTTAACATATAGCATAATTTGTCTTCGTCATTTTGTGCACAATGAAGTATTGGGTCATTCCAGAAAACATCCATACCCCCCCCCCCACGGAGGAAATAGGAAGTTAACCCCCTACCCCCTTCGGATGCCCTAATACATTTACTATTATCAGAAACAATTTTTTGTCCCCTCCCCCTCCGGACGGCAGAAATTTCCTCTGTAGAGGGAGTATGGATCTATTCTGGAACGACCCATTCAAGGCAAAGAAAATATGCAAGCATTAAATATTTCCTGCATTATTTCTCAATCCTTGCTCAATGACAAAAACATACTTAAATTAAATTTGTAATATAGGAAAAATAGATTTTCTGTAATATATATTTATCT